CTTAGTCTGATGAATTTTTTTCCTAAGATAGGAGACCTAGTCTGATGAACTTTCTCCTAAGATAAACGTCTTAGTCGGATGAATCTTTCTCCTAAGATACCAAAAAAAAGAAGAAAAGGGATCTAGTCTGATGAACTTTCTCCTTGGATCAAAATCTTAGTCTGATGAATCCTTCTCCTAAGATAGAAAACCTAGTCCGATGAATTTTCTCCTAGGATAATAATTTTAAAAAAAGGAAGTCTGAATTTGAAAAAAAAAGAGGAAAAAAAAGAAAAAAATAAGGAAGTCTGGATTTGAAAAAAAGAGGGTCAATTTTTAGTTTTCTTAAAATCAGGGGTCCCGCCTGGAGAATAGGTTCAGTCTTAACATTAGTCAAGCTTAGTTTATAGTTTATTGCAAGCTCAATCACTTTTAGGAGATGTACATCCTAGTCGAGTCATTAAGTTTACTCTCATCATTGCATCCTCCATCAGTAATGTAGGTGATTTATAATTTTGCTAACAACTCACAATTCTTCCTAGAGCAAACTGGGGTAGAATTTGTTTTTTTGTCTGTTTTATTGGAAAAACAGGCACCCACCTGGAGAACAATGGAAAACAGCTTAAGTTTCAAGGGAAAGCAGTTTCGAAGGAAGACAATTCAAGTTTCAAGGGAAAATGGTTCAAGGTGCAAGGGAAAATAGTTTCAAGTAACAAGAGAAGACAGTTCAAGTTTTAATGAAAAGCAGTTTCGAAGGAAGACAATTCAAGTTTCAAGGGAAAATGGTTCAAGGTGCAAGGGAAAATAGTTTCAAGTAACAAGAGAAGACAGTTCAAGTTTTAATGAAAAGCAGTTTCGAAGGAAGACAGTTCAAGTTCAAGGGAAAACAGTTCGAGTTTCAAGGGAAAACGATTCAAGTTTTGAAGAAAGACAGGTCAAGTTCAGCAATAGGCGCCCACCTGTAGAACAAGAGAAATCATTTCAGAATCCGATTCAAGTTAGAAGTAGCAGAAGCTCGCCTAAAAAACGCGGGTCGACAGGGGTCCGAGATAACAAAAAAAAAGCCTCAATCAAGAATAAAAGAAAAAAAGAAAAAAAAGTGAATCCAAAGTGCAGAAGTGGAGAAAAGATGTGGACTGCTCAAGAAATAATTGAAGTCACAAGCTCTGCATGTCCGATTTTGATCCGAAAAGCTGAAGAAGAATGAACTAGCACCTAGCAAGCGTCAAGGTTCAAATCCAAAGTCTGCATGAAAAACTATTCAAGACTCAAGATCAAGCTTCAGAAGACTTCTAGATAGGAATCTTGTAACTCATAGTTGACAAACTTAGTTAGTCTTTTTCATTTTTTGATTTAACAGGACCGCGGATCGGAACCTCGGCGGAACAGCACCTCGGCCGGCTCTCCATCTCAATATACTCCATCATCTCACTCACCTCTGAGCTACACGTGGCCTGATTCCTTTATAGCCAAGGATATGTCGGCAGCTCAGATACTAGGGCTCGGTCACATTCCCCTTTTCCCTTAGTTTTGTTCTCCTTAAATAAGGGTCGGGTCAAAAAATCTGTCTAGTCGTTCTTTGTCCGAAAACTCTTCATGTTTCCAGTCAAAGAGGGGCAGCTGTAGACATGTAATTTTTTACCCTCCCCGAAATTTTATACCTTTAATGCTTAGATATTAAATTTAGGTCTAATAATACTATTTTCAAAAAAAAAACTACAAAAATATTTTCCTTTATTTTAGGTAGTTTATATTTTGTCTTGTTAGTTATACTCTTAAAAAATATATACAAAAATAGCCTTGACATTTAGTTTCCAAAAGAAAAACAAAAATAAAATAAATTTATTTACTTATTTTAGTATTTAAGTGTTCGGATTGGATAAATATCAAATAATGTTTAAATTACTTTAATATAGCTCTTAGTTTCTTTTAATATTTCTTAGTTAAGCTCAAAACGATGAAAAAATGAAAAGAAAAAAATGAAAACGAACAAAAACAAAAAACAAACAAAAGAAGATTGAAACAAAATAAGAAAATAAAGAAAAAAGAAAAAAAGAGTAAAAGTCTTGAAAAGGAACGGAAGAAACAAAGAAAGAAGGGAACGAAAGAATTCAAGAAGGAATATTGAAGTGGTCCCCTTTCCCCTTGTTTTTTGCTCCACACCATGTGCCATTTTCCTTAATTCAAAGATTCTTTTTTTTAGAACCAATTGCTTTGTGACACCTAGCTTTTTCTATAACCACTTTTATTCCCTCTTATCCAAATTCACATGCACACTCACGTCCTGAAGAAGGAAAAAGAGCTGGGGAATCTTTCCTTTCACGTTTCTTCTTTCTATATAACACATGCACACACTGAAAAAAAGGACGGAAAATATATCTGGGCAAAGTTGGGAATGGGAGAAAAAAGCAGAGTTTCATCTTCTTCTTCCTAAAGATAATTTTACCCATTTTCTATGGTGGACAAAAACTAAACAACCTCAACCAATCGGAACCCTCCAACACCACCCTACATACTCACGCACAGCGGCAACACAACACCTCACTGCAAAGCTCCAAAATCAGTTGCTATTTTCTCCATAGACCTGGATCTTCGAACTCTAGCGTTACAACTCATTCTTCAAGGAATAACACAACAACAAAGCTAGCAAATTCAGCAGTTGCAGCTTCCCTATTTCCCTCTTAATACAATTCAAAATAATCACTAATTTCACGTCAAAAAAAAAATATATATATATACACGTCGGAGTCGATCCAAGTAATACGCGGAGTTACGAGATTTTCCAGTGAGTTTTCCTTGTTCTAGTCGCGGTTCGATCGAAGCTACGATCTATCGAAGTTCTGTTTGCGCTCCGGAGATGGGTCATTTCATGCATATCTAGAGCATTGTTCCACTGTATGCAATAGAAAAGAAAAATTATCAATAAAGGTCTGTTTTCATCTTTCCCTTCATTTTAGTTCCTAGTCTCTATTTTTGACCATATCTTATCCATGTTTTTACTCATTTTCTCTAATTCACTTGATTAGTTCTGAGTATAGTTTGTCTTTTGTTTTTATATGGTAATTATTGCTAAATATTGTAGTGACTGCTTTGTTTGTCAGAATAGATTAATAATCTATAACTTGGATCCCTCATGTTTGTTATTCATCAATAGAAATGGGGCTTAAGTTGCTGAACAAATTAGTTTTTTGGAACACAAAAGATTTTTCTATTTATTATCTTTATTAATTTATGGTTTTGAAATCTTGTTCAAGTTCGTTTTTGAAGCTGAATATAAAAACTTTAAGAATTAGAGCTAGATGGATATAGTGCTTTAAATAAGCTCAATAATGGGCCAAATATTTTTTTTAGCCTAATTCAACAAGAGCTATAGTGAATCTAATCCTTTTAAATATACGTTGTTGGCCCATTTCGTTCTTTCAGTTCATAATAAATAATTACTGATTCCAAAATTATTAGCATGCCTTAGGCAAATTCTTAATAAATAAATTATTGTGACTATGGGTATGGTTCCCGTGACATGGTCATGATACATAATTCCCAACTCGGGTGTATATTTCATGTGACACAAATTCGAATCTCAACAACAATAAATAGAACGTGTCGCGAACCGTGGGTGCATTTCATGTGGCATGGTTCAAGGCGTATTTTAAATAACGTTGAATCTTCCTAAAAATAATTAAAAGTGGTTTAATAAGTTAAAATTGTACCATAGGCTAAAACATGTATTAAAATCAGATAGTAGACCAATTATGATAGTTTAAGCGACCGTGCTAGAACCACGAAATCTGGGAATGCCTAACACCTTCTCCCGGGTTAACAGAATTCCTTACCCAGATTTCTGTGTTCGCAAATTATAAAACAGAGTCAATCATTCCTCGATTCGGGATTTGAACTGGTGACTTGGGACAGCATAAATTATCCCAAGTGGCGACTCTGAATTTGATTAAATAATCTCGTTTCGATTGTCACTTAAATTTGAAGAACTCCCTTATATATGCCTTTGGGTATGTAAAAAGGAGTTGTGACAATACCCAGGCAGATTGTTCAAGTTTTTGGGAGCATTTTTGTGGTCCATTCTGCGGGCCGCATATCAATTTTGCGATCGTATATGCGATCGGAGATCTGAGTCGGTGCTCCAGATTTCTAAATTTTTTACCTGACCCCCTGTCATCATATTTTGTGAAATAGCTCATTTTGAGCCTATTTACTGGTCCTTTTAGAGTGAGAGGGAGGGTCTAAGAGAGGGGAAGTGACTTTCATCAAAAGTGCTCCACAAATCCTTGTTAAAAACATTGAAGATAATCAAGTGGAGCACCAAAACCTTCATCCCAGGAGGTAAGACTTCATCACCTCTGCTCTTTATTTTATACATAGCTATAAGGGATCATTAGTGAGGAAATTCATGGGTATAAGGGTGATTGCATTGCAGGCATGTGTTCTTAGAAGATATGGGGAAAGTATAAATAGAGAAGCATGGGGAATGGGCTAAGTGTAATCTTGCACAAAAGGACCATAAGGCCTTAATGAACACTCAATGCTTGATAAAATGCTCAAGTGAGCTTAGATTATGATCTTTTCCTGATTATGGGTTTGATTGTGCTATATTGCTTACATATATTGAAGTGCAAACATTCTGGAACATTATAGGATTAAGGAAAGCTCAGTTGAGGTATGTAAGGCTAAAACCCCGTCTTTTAGAAATCGAGCTCCGTCGGTGTTTGCATAATTATGGTAAGATTAGAGTTGAATTGTTGTATGAGTTGTTGTTTCACATGAATTTGGGGTTGCGACTTTATATGCATGAAACATGTGCCTCAACATGATAAATGTGCTATTCTTGTTAACTTGAAAGGGGGCTAGGAATATGAATCATGTACTTAAATGCTTATACCTTAAATTGAGATTGAAGCTGTATATGTTGTGTTCTCTATGTGAAGTCTCATCTACACTTACAACTTTATTTGCTCTTCTGTGTACATATTATCCTAAATTACCAATCTAACATTGAAATTGGGAATGGTGTAAAATGTGGCCTAGTGCCAAATATATGACATGATAGTTGTAGCCCTAAGTGCCTATGAAATGATATATGTGATACAAATATTGAATTGAGATGATTGATGGAAAAGGGAAACGCCTTGGTAAGGCGGCTTAGCTGATCGGGCTGATATCGGATGCCATGACGCACACATGGTGGTATTGTGTTGATATTGAACCCCGGATAAAAAGGGAAAAATGAGATTGTGATTGAAGTGTATGTCTCAAGTGAAGCAACCTAGCCCATCGGGTCGATATCGGACTCCGCTCAAGCTAGCGGTGGTATAGCGAACAATGATGAACAATATGAAATGCCCCAAACTAAAGGCTATGGAAACATAATGCGAAAATTGTATGATTCTTCTACATTGATAACGTTGTGATCGTTTAAAGCTTTTGAGTTATACTTGTGCTTTCCTTATGTTTGGTATGAAAGTTCTATCTAACTAGATGATGTTTAGTTTTACATACTAGTACTATTCCATGGTACTAATGTCCCTTTTGCCGGGGGCGCTACATTTTTAAATGAATGTAAGTGGCTCAATTGCGGATAGTGTCGATCGTGCGTAGCGGAGTACCTTCTTCTCAAAGTCTTGGTGAGCTCCTTTCTCCTTCAAGGGGTTATATTGCACATCTTTTGTTGTGGACTTCCACTTTTGAGGTATAGCCGGGGCCTTGTTGTCGGCATTGTCATACTTGTCTTTTACATCTTTAGAGGCTCCATAGACATATGTGTGGGTGATATACGAGTTTTGGGTGGGTCTACGAACTATGTTGTAATTCTAACTCTTTCATCTCTAAAGTGTAATTGTATGGAATCTTCGAACTTAACTAGGGCTTAACGTTGTGATATAAAATGAACTAACAATGTTGAATGTACTATATTTCCTCGTCTAAATAAATGAAAGCATGGCTTCCTTATTCATATTGAGTTGGGTAGGAAGTGTTTGATAAGGCTTGCTCAGTTGGATTCACTCGATTGAGCGCCGGTCGCGCCTCTCGAGGTTGGGGCGCGACAATTTTCTCTTAGCTTTTCATCGCCCTACGGTGCCCGTGAGAGTTTTCACCAATAAGACTCTCATTTATTTATTTTTCCTTGTGCCCATGAATAAAAGTGTTACCCATGATGTGAATCGTACCTCTAGCTCGCTTGACTTGGCATTTCCCAAAGATTGGTCGGAAGGCCTTTCTTTGGACCATAATGTAGGCTTTTGGGCAGGGTTAGAAAGAAAAGGCGGCATGCTAGCTCAAAAATAGTTTTAGATAACAAGGTTCAAAATTACAACTTTTAGAATCAGATCTTTCGCAATACCACAACTTCTGCCCCAGTTTCATTGAGTCTGGGGAATTTTGGACTTTTATTTTGATGAGATCAAACCATGAGGCTGCCTACGTATCCTTAAAAGGAATCAGGTCGAACATAGTTCAAGACATAAAAGTTGCTTCGTATTTGTTACTTTTTCTTTTGCTTTTCTTTTTCTTCTCTTTTTTTTTCTTTTCTTCTTCCCTCTTTTTCCTTCTTTTTCTCTTTTTCCTTTTTTTTTCTTTTCCTCTTTTTTTTTTCATTTCTTTATTCTTAAGCCCTACTTCCAATTCCAAAAGAGGGGTATGAAAGAAAATTAAGGCTCAAAAGCGGTAACGAAGGATAAAGTGTTTGGATAATAGAGTAAAATGCCTTCGTCATTCCTATTTTTGAAACATGCCAAATAAAAACAACGCAATTGACGACAAACTAATGAAATCATACATAATATATCTTGACAGCGTCAGAATTAACAGCCATATCTACACATTTGCCTTCTATATCTATTAAATACAAAGCACCATTGGGCAACACTCTCGTTACAATGAACAACCCCGCATAGCAGTCCACAAAAGACCCAATCTCATGCTTGACACAATTATCAATCAGAATATGGATATTCGGCAGTGGAAAGTTATATTTTGGACTTGCCTTGTTGAGATCACGTTAATCAAAACACACCCTGGACTTACCGTCCTTCTTTGGCACAAGCCCAACATTAGCTAACCAAGTGGGATACCGCGTGACTCGAATGACTTTTGCATCAAGCTGCTTTGTGATTTCTTCTTTAATCTTCACACTCATGTCAGTCTTGAACCTCCTTAACTTCTGCTTGATGGGAGGGAATGCCGGATTAATTGGTAATTTGTGAACTACCAAGTCAGTACTCAAACCCGACATGTCATCATACGACTATGCATAAATATCCTTATATTCAAATAGTGCTTTGATTATTTGTTCCTTGATTTTGTGGTTCCAGGTGCACACTTATCTTGGTTTCTCTAACATTATTTGGGTCTCCTAAATTGATTGCTTCAGTTTCATTCAAATTAGGCTTGGGTTTCTCCTCAAAATGATTTAGTTCCTTACTAATTTCCTCAAATGCCGCTTCCTCATCATATTCTGTTTCATCATCACACTTTACTTCTTGGATTATTATTTCAGAGTTAGATTGGCTTTTAATACTTGGCTGAAAATTCCTCATGCATGTCATGTCATTGTAACCAGCATAAAAAGAACTGTACAAAGAAAAATAAAAATGACACTATTAGGAGTAATGAAAAAAGGGAAATGGCATTTCATTGAAAATAAAGGATAGAAGGGTTTGTACATCAAAACAAGCAAAAAATAAAAATCTGGATTACAACTCTGGAATAACCCAGATAACAGAAAGGAAAACAAAGAGCACTACCAAAACTCCTTCCGAGTAAGGAGAGGAGTAGCCTTCCAATTGTTAAGCTTCACTTTTGGCCCAATAAACTTCACATCTGCTTTGCTGGAACCTTCCCCAACTTCCATCATTTTCACCTTACCAAATAAACTCAAAAACCTTTCAATTAGTTCTTCATCAACGTTGACCACAAGCTTTAGTACTGCTGACACTGGGCACTTCACGACCCTTGGCTTAACGAAGGACCTGGAGACGAGCGGGTTAGGCTTCGGGAGTGACCATGCCTTCTTTTTCGACCTTTTAGCCCTCTTCACATCGTCCCTTATGGGCTTGAATCCTAGACCAAATGTACCCAGATTATCAGGTAGAGACACTAGCTATACGATACCTTGTAAAAATGCGCCCAGACCTTTGCCCGGCACAAAACCATTCTTCAGCATTTTGGATGGCTCCATGACGGATGCAGAGGCTAACTTTGGCCTAGAATACACTCCCCCTCCTAAATCTTCTCGACTGACACTATTTCGGAAACTTGGTAGACCTAGGGACCGTAATCATCTTTGGCTTCAATAAACGGGAGAGAGGTATCATTGTAAGCACACAAGTTCTCATCACCATGCACGACGATCTCCTATCTGTCCCACTCGAACTTTACCATCTGGTGCAGGGAAGAAGGGACTGCTTTGACAACATGTATCCAGGGCCTACCTAATAGAAAATTGTAAGAGACGGCCACATCTAGCACCTAGAACTCCACGGTAAATTCAACTGGTCCTATCGATAGTTCGAGCATGATATCGCAAAACAGAATCTTTCCCCCCTCCGTCAAAACCTGGACACATATCCTGTTATTGTGGATCTTTTCAGTATCAATGTTCAACTTATGCAGAGTGTGTTGTGCCCCCTTTTTCTCCCTCCCTTTTTTATGGGAAAGAAAATGTCCGGGTTTTCGACATTTATGGGGGGGTAATAACTCATTTCCTTTTGGGAATCAAGGATTTTAAAGAGTCGCCACCTAATGGATTATGGCGCGTTAGGGAACCTAGAGCAATTAACTCTTGGATTGTTTTGCATTACCAGAGATTTAGGGTAAGGGCTCGAAATAACCTCTAGGGGAAGGTGTTAGGCACCCATCTTGGTCCACAACTGTGGGTCCCACCCGAACTTATATTTATGAATTAGTCCATTAACAAATAAGTTGTTGAAACAAATAATTGCAAGTAAAGCACGTTGGACATTGTATAACTCAAATAATAAGACAAATTTTGAACATATAGAACAAGTAAAGCAAAAGAAATTTTGGAAAGGTGGGGTCCTAGGTTGGTTAGCCTACAGGATCACCCCACGCAATGCCCGATAAACACTCCTCAATGAGGGTCTAAACGTGACATTAGCGCGTAGTCATCATATCCCATTCTACCCAAGTCCCTCCCCTTGGTCATAGCCTAAAGCATTCTAGTAACCTTGACAATGCCTATTCGTGCATTACCCATCCCGTCCTTGTGGCCTTGGAGGTATTTTAGGACCTCTAAATCTGGGTAGTTCTAGACAACCCCTAAGGTGCTTAAAAGGAGAAAATTCTAGGCAACATGCAAGAACAATTTAGGACTGCATATAAAGCAAGTTAGAGGCTCACAGTTACCTCCTCAAGCATATCACATAAGTGCACGTCTTCAAACAACATCTAAACATTTAAGAAAGGAAATCCTAGAACATGATATCTAGGTGAGCAGAGGTTAGAAAGTACTGAAGTAGGCCAATATATGAAGGATCCTATTTAACTTGCCTACTGATTAGACTTGTTAAATCTGAACAACTTCAAGTAGTAGAAATACAGTTTCAGAGTTATAGAATTTAAAACGCCCTACAGGCTTGCCTAAACATTGAAGGGTGATGGCTAGAAGCAGGATAACTACGTTGATATAATAAAACAATGAGTAGATTTTAAAACGGACTATTGAATTCCTATAGGAATGTTTCTAATGGCAGATTAGGGAAGTACTTGAAAGAATTCATTTAAGGAAAACAAACCACTAATTAGGCTAGTTTCGAAGTAAACTAAGATGAATTGAACTGACTTATTTAAACTAAACTGATTTTAGATTTATAGGCAGAGTATCTGATGTTATTCCTTATAAGCATGATATCTAGTTGTTTAAGAGCTAATGTTAGAAGCTTGCATGATATTTAATGAAAACAAATGTAATTACCCATAATAACAGATGTTGAACTAGATCACATTCTATAGGCATGGTATCTACTTGTGAAGTTGATTTTAAAAACCTATAGACATGATTTCTATTATTTGAAACCATTTAAACCATATAGGTAGGATTTCTAGCATGGTGAGACAAACATAACAATAATATTAAATGACCCTATAGGCATGGTTTCTAATATTGTAGGGCAGGCATAACAAATATATAAAATCCTATAGGCATGGTTTCTAATATTGTAGGGCAGGCATAACAAATATATAAAATCCTATAGGCATGGTTTCTGATATGGTAGGACGGACATAGCAAATATATAAAATCCTATAGGCATGGTTTCTACCCATATTACCCCACAAATATGTAACTACTTACCCTTTTTCACTAATCACCTTAATATTCATTTACAAATTATTACAAACCAGATGAATGAATTGCATAGATAAAGAAAAACAAGAAGTTACACTATAGGAAGCCTAAAGTAGGCCTAAGTGATTTCCCAAACTTCCAATAGCCTCAAATGCCAATTTTATAGACAATATCATTGTCTAGGTGCGTCAAAGTTCCCTAAGGATCTCAAGGATCCCGGGCGGTGCTCACAGCGAGACTTTGTAACCAAATTGAGTAAGTATAGTGTGGAAGGGCCAGCCTCAGTGTGCCAGAGTTCAGAGGTATCTCCAAAGGATCCCAAGGAAATACACACACTGGAGGGCGCAGAACCTAGGGACTTAGGATTAAAGTGAGAGTTCTTGACATAGTTTGAAAGGGTTTTAGTAGGAAAACAATGTTAAAAGAGATTTGCTTGAAATAGTTTAGTAAAGACAACACAGGGAGTTATTAAATAAGATAATTTTAAAAAGAGTAAGGTGATTAACAATCAACAAACCAAATACAGAACCAGAAGAGGTTCCTCAGTACTTTCAATGCATGGAATAGAACAGGTACACACATTCACTCAGAGGTAATGATGATT